AATTTCAAGTAAAATAAGAGCTGGATTAAAGAATAACTGACATAACAGAAAGCTTTTCAAAAATGTGCATCTTAAAATAAGGTAATTCATTTTCGAAAAAATAATTTCACTGAATTGTCCTGCAGCTTTAAATTCAGTTCATTCAGGTGTGAAGTGATGTCAATCAAAAAAGCCACAATATTATATTTTTCTCATCTTCTAACAAGATAAATCAGTGTGCATGGACTTTATCTGTGTTAGTAACACTTGTTTCAGCTCTATTCTCTCTGTTAACATCATTGTTGGGCAGTGAATTCATGTGTTAGGATTCTGATCATACTGGGCTCTTAGGTTTATTTTCTGTGTCTTCATTCAGATGTGAGTGGGTACGTTTGTTCAAAGGAGTTGTGCGTTGTCTCGTAGTGTCGCTTCATTTACCGCTTTTAATAATCGTCACGGTCTCTGAACATGTGAGACACACTGGTTATAAACTGTCCGTGTGAAGAATTAACCTGTAAGAGTCTGTTCATTCTTGGTTAAAGACTCTGGTCTCTCTGACCACTTTTCTCTCTTTGGAGAAGGTCATGTGAACTTCTCTGACTCAGGTATTATTCTCCTGTTCTTCCTTCTCTTTCCTCGTCTCTCCCCCGGTGTGTGTACATCTCACTCCAGTCAGGAAACTTGTCAGAATACTCATATTTGATTGGCTGAGCTGCATCACGTGATGTGATTTACAACGCATTGGTCGGTGCGTTTCCTGCACCGCTGAACAAGTGCCGTAAAGGCTGAAAAAGCTGCGCCGGTTAAAATAGAAGCGCCCTGTCAAAATAAAATCGATTTTAGGTCCTGGGTCCGGATACAACGGCGTCCGGGTCCGGATCCGGACCGCGGTCCGCCAATTGGCGACCCTGTAGACCTTTGGCACAGCGAAACCACCAACGTCTGGTCTGAGTCTCCGCAGCTGGAGCCGACATCAGCATGACATCATTGTCATGTCAGTCAGTTCTTTTGCCTATAGAGTCTGTTTCTGAACTGACGTCATTTGTGACGCTTTGCCTTTGACGAATCATGTGTGATGTCATGCCATTCTATGCGCCAGCTGTGTCTCAATCCAGCGGCGCATCCTTCGGAGGCTCCGTTTGGAGACCGAATGCGTCACCGCAGGCGAGGCTGTCAACGAGGCTGTCCCATTTAGAACAGTGGTCCCCAACCACCGGGCCGCGGACCGGTACCGGGCCGTGGGTTATTTGGTACCGGGCCGCACAGAAAGAACCACAGAAAGACCAAGACGCTTGTCTCGGTCACGTGATACGTTACCTCAAAAATTAAGCCCACAAGCTAGCGAAAATGAGTAAATAACTTTTGGAGAGCTTCTTTGCAAAGGGGACAAGGCCCACTAAGGAGACAGAAGAAGAGCCGACAACTTCCAAGAAAATGAAAGCTTAATTTAACTCGTAGTTACAGGAGGACTGTGTGCCCATCATTCTGTAGGACTTCTTGAGCCTGTCAATCATATCACTCAGACGTATGAATGTCACCATGACAGCGTTACCAGGAGTACGTGAAGGGGGCAAACCTCTGGCTGTTCTGTTCAAAGAAACCATATCTGCCCGACCTGGTTCTGAATACTGCAATACACAACAGTCTCATCAACAGCAAAGCGTACTTCACATCTGAGAACATGCAGCTCAGTCCTGACTCCAGGTCCAGAAAGCTATTGACAGCTCCAGGTAAAGGTTCTCCTAATGTGCCGTACCTAGAAAGTTGTGTCATGACCACATAATGTGTCAACCTGCGTGCAGGAACTTCATCAGGGAGCTCATCGGCAGTCAGATAGATGTGATTAGTGACCTTTTTCCTGGTCTCTCCTTACATCGTGTTACCTTTATCCAAAACAAGGTCGAGGTCTGCTCCGGTGATGTTTTTCATTCTCATGAAGGAATGCCAGAAATGATCTGTTCTGAACATTTACTGTTGCTCATATGCTAGCTGACAAGAGTTACATTTTGATCACAAAATATATTCTCTTAAACTTTTTTAAAAATATGTAATTGCTTAATGACAGCATTCGATGTCACAAGAAATAAAGAATGAAAGCTACATTTCAACAGTGATTAATTAGTGATTTATTGCTTTGAATAATTTCATGGTACAAGTAAATGAGCTGGTTATTATAGTGATAGAAGGCTTTCAGCTGTTTTAGGAATGAGTTTAATCAATAAACAGCCTAATTTAAGATGATTATCCTATATTTGATATGTAATAGCTATTCCTATTATTTTTCAATAATTGTTTTTACTTTTAGATGTCAATGAAAAAACAACTAAATGAACCTTAAAAACCCTGTATAAAAGAATCCACTGGACTGATTTAAATTAAATCAGACTCGTGTTTTTTTTAACCACCGTACATTGTTGCTTGAATTAAACACCCAGGTATTGAGACAAGATCACTCAGGTTAAGTTAAGAAACTATATGATTCGATTAGATTCTTCACATATTCACGGTACAGCCCACATTTTACACAAGAGAGCACAGGGTTCATGGCGACGTCTGATGTGTTTGCATAAAAGGGTTCGGCTCCTGTCCAGATGTTTATTTAGTCACAGTGTTCCTTTGTCGTCACTTCAGCAGAGTTGACTCTGTAGTGCTGTTTCAATTGCGCTTATAGATGTGCAGGACGTTCTTACAGTTGGGGCAGGAATGCTCCACATCCTTGCAAGAATCCACGCAGAAGGGGATTAAACAGCAAGGCCAGCATCTGGTGTGGAGTTTCAGAATGAAGTTCAAATAAAACTTCACTCATTTTCAAGCTGTTTAAAAAGCTTCCCTTCCACCTAAAATATGCGATTAAACTGAACTCAGGTATGAGTGTTTCAAAATTGTCTCATGACTTTTGAAAATGTTAAACCTACTGAGTTAATGAACTTCAAGCACAAAGTCAATATATTTGAGACATTAAGTTACATCAACTCTAATATGGTAATCATCACAAACTTAATTTAATGACTGTCAGTAGTACATTTATTCAGCTCATCATTTAAGCCATAAAAGAAATTCTGAACGTGTGTGTGCATGTGTGTGTTTGCTTTACTCACATGAAGACTCCCAGTATGCCACAGGTCAGCCAGGTGCAAAATCCACTTATGTGCTTGGTTTTAGTGACAACACTGATTCGGCAGTGAGGACACATCATCTGTCCAGGAACATCAGTCGGCAACTGCTGCATCACCACCACCTGGGTCATCACTGTGAGGGAGAAACACATCACCCTTTAACAGCTATACAATCCACACCTCACCAACCCGTCACCAAACTCAAAGCTTTCTGACTTTTTCCTATATATTCGGCATACTCAAAGTTATTTAAACTTGTTAGAAACAGGTGGAGGGAGACACTCACCGGGTTGTACGACTTGAGGTTGCTGTGGGCTGTACTGGTAAGCAGGTTGTTGAACTGGATCTGAGGAGGAGACATTTATCTTGAGAAAGGTTCAAATTATTAACAAGCAGCCAAAAGGCTTCTACCACATGGACTAAAATTACACAAATAACTCAAGAATATAGGAGCTACATTCCACTAAATTATGCAGTTAAAATGACTCAGATGAAGGTCGGTGATCTCTTACTGGGATAGCTCCCAGGCTGAGCTTGGTAGGCTCCATTGTAGTCTGGAGAGAAACCTGGGTACGGTGGTGCTGCCATTCCCGGAGGAGGTCCCTGACCCTTTTCCATGATATCTGCTAAAGGAGCAGTGGAAAAAAGCCTGTAAGTAAGATAAAATACAGCAAAAAAGGGACCAGAGTGATCCTTGTAATCAGTGGCGGCTGGTGGAACATGTTCTAGGTAGGGCTGTGCCACATCCAATCAATTTCAGCAAACATCCCAGTATGATTTAATGCCAAAAAAAATTAAGGTATCAAACACGTATTACTACTTTGCAGTTAAATATTTAACCTTTATTCCAACATGAAAAAAAGCAGTAAATAACACTTTGATAAACACGTCAAGACATAATATTTGTGTCACCCTCACAAGCAATTCAGTATAATATAATAATATATATATCATATAATAATATTATGTATAATATATATATCATAATAATATATGATATATATAATAATAATATAAAACACACATACATATACGTATATATATATATAATTATTTATTTATAACTATATATCATGTCTCAGCAGGTGCTTCATGTCTCTCACTCCCTAACTGTCCATACTGGATCTGTCCCTGTTGTTTTAAAAAGCTAAATAAGTTATTGGCATGACGTCATCCAGCTAGCCAAACCTGTCTCTCTCTCTCTCTCTCTCTCTCTCTCTCGCTCTCGCTCCATGACATGCGTATGCATTTTTACATTATAATGGAACAGATTGTCTAGTGCCACTCCCTCCTCTCTCATGACCAAAGGTCCCATTTGGCAGTATAAACTTATATAAATTACATTTTCATCTCTCTGACGTACATACAAATAGTAACCAATGGTTTATTTCAGAAATGTATTTGCATGTAAGAGACTTCTCTAACACACCTGTCAGCAGCTAATGCAAAAGAGTCACTTTTGAGGATTTGTAGTGAAACTGACTGGGAGTAAAAGGGTTATAATTTTTTACCTTGTTGCTGCTACTGACTGATGAGTCACCAACTTAATTTAGTTTTTACAATGACAATAAACATCCTTATCCTTATCCTTATCCTTATTCTGCTGAGGAGTGCTGGCTGATTGAATTCAATGTTGAGAAACGCAAACATGTCCAGCAAAATGTCACCGAAAAATGTTGTGGTAGCTTTTACTGGCATGTAGAAACACACACACACAGTTGTGTTTTCATGACTTTTGGGACATTACATTGACTTACATTAATTTCCTGGGGACTTACCCAAACCATAACCGCTACCAGCCTAACCCTTAACTCACCTAACTTAAACCAAGGCTTCGCCCTAAAATGTAATATGTAATGTAATAATATAAGAAAGGCAAGTCCCAACAATGTAAACAGGTTTCACCACAAGTCATGTAAACACATCCCCCCCCCCCCAAAAAAAAGGTCCAAGCTAAATTCCAGTGACAGGGGGGGTGTATAAGTCAACAGAAGCAGACAAATAATAAACTTTCAGGTTCTGCTATCATGTAGTATTCCTTCTGACTCTGAGCCTGTGTGCATATGTTTCATTTTGAAGACGGATGTAATGCTGCTTACCTTAATATAAGGTCACTGTGAGGTCCTGGCACTGCTTCTTCCTCTGCTGTTTGAGAACAACTGACAAAGACCATAAAAGCAAATGTAGAGAGAAGGTGGAGCAACAGTGTGAAAAAGGCGCAGTCATCATAGGTGTGGATTTCACTGTGTTTGTTGAATTTCGAAATGCTATTCTCTCATTACAACATATATTTGTAGTGGAAATAAATCACTATTACTTGTTTCTGCAGTGCCTTGCCACATTAACACTTCCAACACAATTATTTAAATAGACAGTGTTATCTTGTTTTGTTTACTGTATTTCATGTTATTCTAAGATTCTTAAATATCTTAAATATTTGTGTGATCAGAATAAAATGTAAATTTAGAAGGCTGACATGAAAACAACTTTAAATGATATGGCTGGCTTTGTTCCATATTTGTCTTATTGTTACCAAAATCAACAATGCATTATACTCTATTCCCCAGTGTGTCTCCACCAAGCACTAAAATAGGTCACAAATATATACTTCCATTAAAAAGGCTAACTAGTGTAAACAGTAAATTAACACACTGTGGTGGCAATTCCTGATGAATAAAGTTTAAAGTTTAAATTAGCAACTCTATTGAGTACTTGCAGCAGCAGGGCAGTATTTGTTAGATCAACTCAAAATAACCGACAGTGCCCAGATTCACTGTAATAGAGGAACATGTCACCTGATGCAGAAGTGAGGCTCTTCCTAATAAGTTGGTATACACAAAATCACATCCAACATCCAACAGGAATACACGTAATTTGGAAGGGTGTAACAGGGAAAGAGCACCAGCAGAGGGCGCAGTGTGGCAGTGTCATTGACGTGAAGTGTGTCGGTCATGTTGTAGAGGACTTGATCAGGCTTATCTGAAGACAACTACAGCAGATGAGTGTCAAACCCTCTTCACTGAAGTTCAGCTGCCTGACGTGAAAAGCTGCGGTGACGGTCATCATTTATGGTTTGTGTGCGTGCCATCACATTCATCACTAGTGTTTGCTTTTAATCACTCTTATTGTCAGGATTCATTTATCGCGTCCTTTGAAAGCTTCATGACACCAGGACTGCTCTTACTCAGTATTAAATGTAATGTTTGTAGGAATGTGGCTGACTTTAATCAGATTTTAACATTGTTACAGCTTGACTGTGTAATTGTGAAATAAAGATAACAAATATACATACAATAGGTGAAGATCTACTAGAATACAGAGATGTGTGACCAGAGCTCTGTAACATTACAACATTGTAAGAAAAGATATACAAAACAAACAAGTAAGGTTTACTTACAGAACGTTTTTTATATGCAGTAGAAGTTAAGATAAGTAAACAAAACGTAAGATAAGAGTGGATGATTGTAGACATTACAGTAAAAAACGAATTACAAATAAGTGAAAACCAACATTTTTTTGAAGAAATTTAGCCCATTTAAGTGTTATGTAAGTGTGTCTACAGTACGTCTATATCAACAAAGTGCTAATGGTCCGTGCAGGAAAACACACATGATTGACAGTCTTCATGGTGGTTTTATGGTGTCACTTTAGAGGAACTACAACTTTTCATTAGTTTTCTCATTCTATATTATTTTACAATCTCAACAAAGCGTAATAAGTTGATGACATAAGTATGTCATTTGTCACTTTGTGATTTCATTAACCTTTGTTCTTGTTGGCTATGTTCTTTGTATTGTATGTGCTTTTGTAAGTCTGGTTATTGTTGTTTTTCTTTCTCTATGTCGTATATATGCATGTGCACATTTGGCAGCATAACAGCAGGTTGACATTGAATTAATGAGCTGAAACGGAGCCGCTGATATTGGACCTCTTTTCACTGATGGGACATGTCCCCCGTCCCCAGTGTTAATTAGGCCTTTTCTTTCTTTAGGCAACGGTATGAATTGTTAACCGCGACCTTCTGCTTTCATTGCTGCACGTTAGACAGACTCTATAGTCAAAAGACAGAAATGCTTACTTTTATTATCTTTATTAAGGAGAGATGAAGTGACATCAGCCCTAATTCATTGTAATTTTCTTAATTTTCATTTCCCAGGGTCCATGCTTTCATCCACTCACGCTGATGGAAGATTGTTATGGCGACGCTTTGTTTTATTGGCCGTGACTGACATTCAAATTCAAACTTTGCTTGATCCCTCGTCTTTTCTCCCCAGCAGTGAATCAATTAAACTCACATCTCATACATCGTTGGCAGCTCAAAAAAATAAAGGTGACGGCAAGTGAAGACGAGGCGCTAACATGGAGCCTAATGCACCCCCCCAGTGCTCAAGACTCAGAAACCTGCTTTTAGTCAACAGTGAGTGTTATACAGCTGAGGTGCACTGCTACTGGTACGATGGCAAACAAGCAGCAGTGTGAATCTGGAGCAGCAGGATTGAGGACCTCTGCTATGAGGATCTATTTGTGTCAGAGAGAAGACTCAGCTATCTATTCAGGGTTTAATTGCAGCTGCGGTTAGTTAACGTCATTTGATACCAGGCAGAGAAAACCTTGCCGCCCTGTAGGTCAAGAAGAGCACTGACAGATGCCTGAGACAGGAGATTCAATCGAGTGTTAATTTGATGGTCATTGTAGTTTTCAAACCGTGTGAAACGTTGTGACGCTCCTGCGGCAGGTGTGAGAGGGAAAGAGAAGGAGAAGTTTTTCATTTGATGTATTTTGTAATTCTGTGAGTCACTAGTCAATAAGTAATATTTACATTTAGACATTTTAAACATTTAAAGTGAGGGCGGTAATGGGTGTGATGGTGTAATGTGTCCTATGTGTACATTACACCCTTGTTTTTGCAGAAAATGAAAGAAGGAAAAAAGGAGCAACACATTGACGCTGAGTGCAGTCGAGAGGGCTGAGAAGAGCGTTGAAGAGTTGAGAAAGGACTGGCAGAAAGTGTTAAGAGGAGAGAGAGAAGCTGGTGCTGTGGAGCCGCCATAAATGCAGACCGCCGACAGCGTGGCCTTTCATATTTCAACACCCCTGCTCCTCATTTCGTTCCCCAGTGGACCTCGCTGTCCAGTCCAAAAGTCTCATAATCTCCCAGGGGGTCTTCAACACACACACACACACACACACACACACACACACACAGGATTTCTGCAGAGGCTTCAGGTCTCTTTTGCTCCTCCAGACAGTAAATGCATTTCATCTTCACGATATTACCTGATTTTATTTTTTTAAAAGAGGGTTTGAAGTGGGATTAAGAAAGCTGCACACTCTCTTAGTTACCTTGTGTCCCTCTCTATACACAGTTTCTCTTCACTTGTTCGTGATTATCTTTCAGTGGCAGGAGAACTGGTCTGTATGAAGTGAGAGGTGGACAGGAAATGGAGAAAGCTGATCAATGTGGGTTTGAAACAGATGCAAAGAGGAAGAGATGACTGAGCAAAACCTCCCAAATAGCATGACACAACTGCAAACACAAGAGGATGAGTAAATGGAGAGATAAAGCAATGGGAGAAGAACAGTGGCTGCCAAAGGGTCGTGAATACTGGCTGGATATACAGACACATCTTTTATTGCGTGTGTTTGCACAATGTCTACGTCCTGATAACGCTCTAATCAATGGTCACTGCATCAGCCCTTTGACTCAGTCTGTTGCTTAACCCAGCATGTCTACTTCAGGCATTCTCCACTTCTCATATAGATTATGTCTCACCGCTCTTTATGTTTACACGTGACTTAGTCCCTGTCACGCCTTGCGACTTGTTGCTATGCAGAATTGAACTGGTCGCTATATGCATAGAAATAATCTAATGGAGCAAGACATGACGGGATAGTTGATATGCAAAGTCAAATCAGGTTTTATATCAGTGTAGGTAGACATACCATGTTCAGGAGTCATGATGAGAAATATCTGTTTTTTAATCACAGAAACCCAACAAACATACAGCACTGAAGCATCTGAACAATTATATGTTATCTAAAACAATGCACAGTATGTTTGCACTGGAAATCCTTCATTCTGAACAGCGTTGACATTTTCAGCTTGCATTAGTCTCTCTGTCATCGCCTCCCCTTATTATATTCACCTGATCAGCATCTTCTCACTGCAAGCCCCTGATTCATTTTCTTTTTCATTACACATCCACCATTGAGATTTGACTCATTCTCACTCCTACGTGTCCGAACACAAAACTCATTTTACTCTTTAACTAATTCCATTAACGTGAACACTATTTCATTCCAGTCAGCTTTTACTTAATAACACAATGACTGCTATTATAGAGACATTGGTTCTGTGGTGATGTGATATGAAGACCAGACAATAGAAACTGTTTAGATAAGCGTTAATAAAGAAATACTTTGTCCTACCATACATTTATACTAGGTGAGTGTGTGTGTGTGTGTGTGTGTGTGTGTGTGTGTGTGGCAAAGAGAGAAGCTATGTCCAAATTGTCTCCTGTTTTTTAAAGTTTGTTTACAGTCTGATGAACTCATGTTTAGGCAAAGCAAATATACATCGTGTGGAGTTCAGCTTTAAGGAACTTTTTCACTGCCTCATCCGACAGAAACGACGTGGGTGTGGTTGGCCGCACTTGGCACTGATCACATTCAGCAATAATATCGCCTCAACAGGCGATGGTCATTCTTGGCATTTGTGCAGTAATCCTCTCCCACCTGTCGCAAAAACAACCCCTGACCTTTCCTGTTAAAAGCTTCATGGCGGACACATTTACACTATAAGCATTTCAAAGGCTAATGGAGGCTGTGCCAGTTGAGTCTGATCAGAAATATTCGCTGTGTGTGTATTCTATCATACAGTAAACAAGGCGCCTCAAATAAACACACACTTGACACGCAAATGCACAAAGATACAAATTCAAAGGCATATATACAAAGAGGTCAGAAGGTCTGTGTTCAAAGCTGGCAGGAAAACACAGAGTCGCATGTCCTGTGACTGAGAAGCTGGTAAACAGCAATCAAGCCGCTCTCTGGAATACAAACAGTATATAAAAAGGATTACAGCAGACTTTTGCCACAAAGCTGTACAGATGTCAACGTCAATCATCACAATTTACCCATTTAAGTTACAGTGAAAAGAGCAGAAGTGAGTGGGAGTTTGAAACAGGAAAATGCCTTTTTACTACAGAAACAAAATAGTGCATTAAGCTGCTGGAGGAGGTAAATTTTTATCTGAAAGTACCAATCATCCTTTCAGACTAAATCACAACCCTGTAAGGCCTGTTTTACCCAAATAAACTTGTGATATGAAATCTTCTCCTCTCCGGGATTTTTGGTACTGAAAAGTAAGTTTATTCTTACATGTTGTGTAACAGATGAACAGAAAGTGAGAGAAGTACGGAGCGAATGTTCCTTTGTCCGTTTAGGAGCCGGGATACCTGCTGACAGCGGCGCAGAAGGCACTTATGTCAAATGGCTGGATGGAAAGAAAAATGTGACTTGTTGAGCAGCTGGGTGATTCATAAAGGTAGAGATACACATCGAGACATGAAACAAATGTAAAATATTCATGAGGTTGTTTCACTGAAATGGGTCATAAATGCTGCAATGCATTTCAAATGAGTGTTCAGAAAATAGTCCTGGAAATGGATTTTTTACATTGCAACTGCAGAACAGCATCAGCTGATCCGATCCCTCTGCTTTCACTGCTGTAGTCTCATATTATGTTTCCTCCTCAGCTTCTCTTTTCAATTCATGAAACACCTGATGTTTTCCAGTGGAGCTAATGATGCAGGAGAGGAGAACGTAGTCAGGGCAGTGAGGGTTGGAGGTTAAGCCAGGGTTACCACGGAGGGTACCATGGAGGCTGCTGTGGAGGCCGCTGTGGCTGTGGTGGGTCCCATTCCTGGGCAAGTGGATGGAGGTTGACATGTAGGGGAGGAGCGGTGCAGGTCTGCTGCTGTGTGGGAGATCGGCGAGCCTGGAGGATGAGGAGAGATCTTCAGAAAGAGGAAGAAGAGGGCCAGAGCCAAGGAGGAAGGGAATAAAGGAGAAAGGCATCAAAAGAAGTGGGGAGATTTAAATTAATGAATTAACATAATACATCTCTGGGTTAGCAGGATGAGTCTACATTATGTTTAAAGTAGAGGTTTCCAACCTCCGGACTGTGGAACAGTATCAGGCCTTTGAATATTTGCAGGCTGCGAGGAAACATTCTGATTCTGCAAAAACAAGCCTATTATAAGCTATTTTTGCAATAATCACCTTGAATTGTGTCGCTGCCGTTGTTTCATTTTACCTCATTACTTCCTGATATTCTCCCAACAAAAATATACTGATTGTAATGATTACTCATTCACCACACCTGCGTTCAATTACCTGCCCCTGGTTTTTCCCTCTGACAACCCCACACACACATACTCCCCTGCTTTCCCTGTTCTGTTTGCCAGATTGTCTTTGTCCTACCCCGTGTGTCATCGCCTTCCAGCAGTATTCTCTCGTGTCAATTTCGATGGTTTGTTACTTTACCTCGTTCTCGGTTTGTGGATTTTTGCCTGCCTCTTGTCGTTTTTGTTTGCCTTTAGAAACTGACGTCCTGTGTTTGACTGCTTGGAGCCTAGTAAAAGACTTTGCCTTCTACATCACCTCGTCTCCAGTGTCTGTGTCTGCTCTTGAGTCTCTGCTCTGACATAATTGCCTTCACACACACATGAGGGCTTTGCAGGAAATGATGCGGCATGTAATCCTACATAAACCTCACTGCCTTCTATACTCTCTTGACACCATATCAGAGCAGTACTGCTAATTGAACCAGAATTCTCAAACCTGTGGTATTACTGTGAACTGTACTTGGCTGTCACACCACCCAAATTACATTTAGAAATGATGGACTAAGATTTCATGGATTACAACTTTAATTTTACGTTCCTGTTTTTCCTCTTGATCCTCCCCAGTTCTCTCGTGCGGGCTCTATCTTCTCTGTCATTTTCTAGCTCGTATCAAGAATTATTTGTTGGTTGGGAGAATAAATAGAGACGGATCTTGCCTGAGACAAAACATACTTGATCGTGACCAGGAATGTGAACCATCTCACTCTTTGGCTTCGGCCGGTCCGTAGCAATATTGTAAATATAAAAAAATGGTCTGTGGTGCAATGTATATGTATATGAGTGCGTGCGTTTGTCAGTATTCATTTGCTTTTGGTCGCATGATGATGAAGAGATATGACATGAAGTTAAACTCTGAGAATAACCAGAGATCCGTAAATCAATAATGGAGCACTTGGACTCATTAACATTTACTCTGTATATACACTCTTACACACTGTGACTTATGGAGGTCTAATGCACCGCACTGCTCTTGTACGAGTAATCTAATTGGACACAAAGCCCAACGCTCCAGAGTCTGAGCATGCTGCCTGAATCAAAGCTTTTTCCTTTCCTTTCGATTTCTTTATGACGCACATATATACACACACGTAAACCTACTGTAACCTCGTAATCTTTCACTTCAGCCTTCAGATTTTCTCATTGCCTCCACAGCAGCATTCATTTTACATCCTTCTGCAATTAGCTGCCCACACCTGCCTGTTGATTCATTTAGTTGTTGGACTCTTCATCGGTAGAAATGCCAAACCTGATGCATCACATTTATTGGTGATGCAGAGAGTGTGTGTGTGTGTGTGTGTGTGTGTGTGTGTGTGTGTGTGTGTGTGTGTGTGTATGATTAAAGGATTTCATATTAGCCAAGCATCTTAATTGTCCTGAAAATTGTCAGAATAGCATCAGCGCTGCACTCAACATACATTATTTTTATTATAACATCTGTTTTTTTTGTTTTTTCTTTCCCTTGTCACTTGTCACCCCCCCCCCCCCACACACACACACACACACACACAGACAGTACCTGGCTGCTCTGGGGGTCGTGGTAGGCCTGGTTACGAGGGGAGAGAACGAGGCATTCGTGTGCTGTGGTTTTCTCAGTGCGCTGAGCGCTGGGGTCGCCATCATCCACACCGTTGGCCTTGCACCTCACATTACTCACACACAGCACCTGCAGGGCCACAACAACAATTGACAGTAGAGACTAGATAATAAATCTCCAGCCATTGTGATAAAGGTCATTAACCATATATGGTAAGATGAGAAAACCGCGTTTGACAACCAGGCTAGAGAGCAGATCTGGTCAGAATATACTGTCATTTTAGACACCCTGATATAACTTTTTAATTAACAAGCTTCAACTACTTCTTCAACCTTCCTCTCTACAGTGTTTTAATACCCAGAGGACACAACCTACTTTTCTGAAGCTCTGTCTGAAGTTGTCCGACAGGAAGCCGTAGAGCACCGGGTTGGCACAGGAGTTGGCGTATGACAGGATGACGGCGAAGAAGTAGATGCCGGCAGTGGCACTAGACTCCGGAATGATGACCACCAGATTGACCATGTTGATGATGAAGAATGGCAGCCAGCAGAGCACAAACACCACCACGATCACCACCACCATCCTCGTCACCTTGCGCTCCGACCGCCGGCGCTTGGTGAAGCCCGCCCGCGCCCCTGATGACTTGATCTGCACCATGATGATGATGGTGAACAGGATGAATATGTGATGAGTGATAACGATGAAAATGAGGAATGTCGAGTATGATGGAAACGATCATTATGTTGATGCAGATTTGAGATTTATACATGAGCTATTTTATTGGGCCTTATACAAACATATGCACACACCTTGATAACGATAAGTAGGTAGCAGAGGCAAATGATGAGCAGCGGTCCAAAGAAGCCCACCGTGGCGGTGTAGAGAATGAAGGCTGTCGACCACACGTTCTTTGGCTCTGGCCAGTTGATGTTGCAGGAGTTGAATGTGTCCTAAAGGGAAATTAAATCACTTGAGTAAAATAATTTAAAGATTCAACCATAATCTGCCCAGTCAAACCTTGAGTAAGTGTGGGGCCCACAGGATTTATGTTAAACGACAAAGCTCTTGGATTTTTGAAGAAATTAGAAATTTACATTATGTACTTTCCAAGGGTTTGAAGAAGCACATTTTGCATTTGTGGATGAGATTTCCAGACATTATTGTGCTTTGTTTGAAAACAAGAAACAACTGTAAAACCAGAAAGCAACTTGTCCCCCATTGTTATCAAACCAAAGGTCTTCAGCAGTAAAGCACAGCATGTATGAAAGCAAGTTGCATTCTCCACCTTACCTTACCTCTAAAGCCTTTGTCTAGAGAACTTACTGCAATGCTTTTCTTTATGTGCACATATTATTAATTCTGCTGGAATTATAAGACTTCAAAAGACTTAAGTTTTTGTGTTAAACATTTCAACAACAACTTACGTATTCTTTCCTCACAGCTCTTCATGTCAAATCATAAATTCCAAAATGTACATGTAGACAAAGGTGTTCTTATACCTCTCAGGTTTTGTCAGCAAATTGTTGCTCATTTAAACACCCAGCATTTACAGAGCTATAGAGTTGTGTTTCTGGCCACCTATGGGCAAATATAATAATACTGTGTAGTATAATAATCTAATATTTACTCTCCTTTTAGCTGTGTCAACAAAGAGCTGAAAGATGTTAACACGCTCCACAGAGCTGAGGAGAAAAATATTGTTGTTTCATCATTAGTTTGCTATTGGGCAGGTTACTCTATAAATCACTTATGTCAGTTTCTTTGAATGCACTTTTACCTTTAAAATAGTTTCATCTTGTAACCACAAAAGCAACTTTTACAAAACACAAATAAATATGAACACATGCTGGATAACCTCCATTAAATGTCTCAGTCAGCCTCTGTTGATTTATTTACTGTAGTTACATGAACATAACTGGTTCCAGATCTTATGCTCAGCTGACTGTCTGCTTTAGCTTCATATTTACCAAACAATCACAAGAGCAACAAAGTCAATTTAGTGTATTTTGCAAAATGGCAAATTATTCCTTTAATTCTGATCTTGTGACGTGTATTTTGTTATCGTATTTTTTGTTACCCCGTATCTTTCAAGAGTGATCTTAATACAGCCTATCAGGGTAAAATAAACTAATTACAAACAAGTTATTATTAATATTATTATTATTATGTTGCTGGGGGGAAAGTAATACATTTGTAGTTAATAATCTGTTTAAATAAATGCCTTATTAATGTCAATTTGAGAAGGAACAGGAATGATCTTACTGTGTTCTGAGGTTTACTGGACTGAGTAGAAAATGACTTTAAAAAAAAAAACATTTATCAGAGGCAGCTATTAATTAAAGCTAATTTGCTCCGAGATATAAAGGATGACCAGAACTGCAGTTTATACCTGAATATCAGAAAAGATGACCACAGGCAGAACCACCACGAAGGACACGGCCCACACGGCTGCGCTCACCACCTTGGCCACGCGGGGGTGTCTCCACTTTGTGCTGCGGATTGGATGAACCACAGCCAGGTACCGATCGATGGACATGACAGTCAGGCAGAAAATAGACGTGAACTGGTTCATAGAGTCTGCCGTCATGACAACGCGGCAAAGGAAGGAGCCAAACGGCCAATAGGAGAGCACGTTCTGCGTGGTGAGGAAGGGGAGCCCGATGATGTACAGCTCATCGGCCACAGCCAGGTTCAGGATGTAGATGTTGGTGACTGTCTTCATTTTGGCATAGCGCAGCACCACATAGATGGCCAGCGTGTTGCCAGTCAGGCCCACCATGAAGACTGTGAGGGAGATGATCGCTGTCATCAGAGTGCTGCTGCCCTGAAAGGGAACGCTTTGCGTGGACAGGTTGGAGGAGACGTTGAAGAGGCGGGGGTGGGAAAAGAGGAAGGACAAGGGAGTGGCTGCAGAGGATGAGTTGAGGTCCGATGGGAGGGGAAACCCGTAGGTCTGGTCTAGGGGCTCCATTGTGGGTTTCAGAGGGGAAGATGATGGCACATAGTCCAGATGCAGATTTGTCCCCCTGGTGTTTTCACTGATTTAGAAGAGAACCTTTACTTCTGCCATGCTGGTTTATTCCATGCTTGATTTGGAACAGAATCAGGAGGAGAATCACCAGCAACCACACTACAAGGTATCAGATTAAAACAAAGAAAAAGTGGTTCAGCCTATTTCATCCCATATCTAATTTAGAGTTTACATTTAAGTGTGTGCTTGGGCGCCCAAGCGAGAGAGTGCGCGCTCTGACCACAGATGGGAACCGGTGCTATTTCATTGGAAACGGAGCGTATGAGCCAACTCCAAAGACAAAGATGTGTTGCCATGTATCCTACATTTTAACAAGTTGTCATGTCCGTAATTAAGCACGGAAAGCCACTGCTGTTACCGTAGAGAATCACCAATTATTATCTCCTCTTTACGTAGTAACGTCTCATTCTCAGCCTGCAAACACACACCCGCTGTGTTGCGCGTCAAGCTGGAACAGTGCCACAGCTTTTACGCACGGCCGATCTTTAATACTACGAGCTCTATAATAATGCCTGCTATGAATATAGGTGATAGTACTGTTTATGTAGGTTATGACTGCAATGGTAGTATCTCAACTCAGCGTAATGCTCTCAATAATCGTAATACTTGCATTGCAAAGCTACATTTTTAAATCACACATACGCTATGAATGATTTACTCAGAGACGAGAAGACGAGGACATGCTTACTTTGGGAAGCAGTGAAAAAGCCCAAGTCTTTAATCAAATTAAATGTAGTAGATCCCCCAATTTCCTCGTTTTCAGTTCAGTCTTCTGATTCGCCTTTAATTCTCCAATATCGATGGATAGCTTGTGTCCGAGCGCCCAATTGTTCGCTGTCCGTGGTGCTGAGCAGATTGTCTCAGTCTCAGCTCCCAGCTTCTCTTTCATCCTTTAACTTTCTTTCCACAGGGAGAGAGAGAGAGAGAGAAAGAGACAGAGAGAGATAAAGAGAGAAACAGAGAGAGAGAGAGAGAGAGAGAGAGAGAGAGAGAGAGAGAGAGAGAGAGAGAGAGAGAGGCGCAAAGCACTGGCTCTGATCTTGACAGAGAAAGAAGGGCTATATTTCGAGCTGTCACCCGTCAAAATGACAAGAGGAACAGACATTTAACTAAGCACATTTTCCTAACTAGTTTACATTCAGTTTTGTACACTTTCAGATAATTGTACTTTACTTTTTCTGCTGGTCAGCCCACTTTTACTCTTTTTACTTTTTATTCCACTACGGTTATCTGACAAATTGATTTAGTTATTTTGCAGGTTAATAACTTGAAAGAACATATGCTCATCATAAACATTATTATGTGCTTTAGATTAAGCCACAAAACAGTAAAGTAGTTACAAACTCAGCCAAAGGTGATTTAAAGGGGCTGTGTGCAGGATTTAGTGGCATCTAGTGGTGAGGTTGCAGATTGCAGTCAACTTGATACCCCTTCTCTCACTCCTTCCTTTCCAAGCATTTCAGAGAACAACGGTGGCCATTAGGTATAAAAACATGAAATGCTACAGCCAGTGTTTGGCTTGTCCGTTCTGCTGTAGGACTGTGAAGAGGACCCGCTCCCTAAGGTAATATAAACGGCTCATTCTGAGGTAATGACAACTCAAGATTCTTAGTTTCAAGTCAATATACACTAATGAAAGCATAGTTCTGTATATTATATTCCATTTCTGTCAATAGATCCCCTTTAATCCTACACACTGGACCTTTAAAGGTGCTCTTTAACTCGAGATATCTCGTGTATATAACAGTTATTTTTACATTCAGTGACAATACAAACAAAACAGGGACCCACTCATAAAAAGATTGCCCCATAGCGCCACTAGTGGCCACAAACTCCACAGGTTTACAGACTAAAGATCAGCGTGTTTTCACGGAGACACCTGTGCTTCCTGGATGTTCAGGTAAAACATTTCTCTGTACAGGGTTGATATACAAGCATCAATAGCCATATAAATCAATTAATTCCTTGTTTTCTGTTTCTGTTTTCTCAACCTTCCCGTCTACGTGTACTATAAGTCTCACCCCAACTCAATGGGGATTAGTCAGTGCTACCTATAAGATGTATTCCGGCAGAAGAATGCAGTCATCTCCAGTATAAAAAGATCATGTAAGTATAAACTGTAGTAGTAATGTTCTAAATTAGAGCACATATCAGTAGTGAAACTTAGAGAGAGTGTCAGTGTGTTTTTAAATATAATATATTTTTGGCACTTTGCCTTCATGCAACAGCACAATAGAGACAGACACAGGAATCATAACATGCACCAAAGGTCGTTGGCTGAAGTCAAACCGGGGACATTGCAGTTTCCCGGTATGCGTTTAATATGTTCTGTCCCTTTAATCACACCCTGACCTGAGGGACACAAGGGTCTTCTTCTTTCTTCATTGTGGATGACAATAAACAAGAAGAACCTTTATCTGTGAGTGGTGGTGCTTTGTTTCTTTGGTCCCTGCCACTTACCGTGCACCCGATACACTGTTCAAGATTTGGAGTCGTGCTCGCTGCCACTTTCCATTATAGTGCAGAACCAGCCAGCTGGAAATTGATCGAATACCAGCAGGGCTGGCAAACAAGGGCCCACTGGGACATTTCCGAATGGACATTCGCAGCTATTAATTGTTTTCTTCCTTTTATATGCTAAATTAATACTGTGCAGACAATTTACAGAAAATATGGTTCGGACTGCAGGTTATGTGGAAGGTTGGATCGAGTCTATTACACCTAGTTGCAAAGTGCATGGAGCTAAAGCAATCAAGCAATTCTGTAAGTGCTTAGACCTTAAAGCTTTTTCTCCTTGACATAAATATTGTGGTGTGGTGAAATCAAGGTCAAGTAGACATCTGTTCTGCCACAGCGTAAGATTTCCAATGCAACCACACAGTTAGTTAGACATCTAATTCTTTTAAGGCTTTTAAAATGTAGTGTTTCCTGTCACACTATCCATTTGATTTATTATGAAAGCTGCATGTCTCATTATGTGCATCTCTAAATGTCAGTCACATTTAGTGACTCTCTCTCTCTGCACACGCACACACACACACACACACACACACACACACACACACACACACACACA